GACCAGTAATATTTGGGGTCACAAGTTTTTGCCATTGGTATTTTGTGGGTCAGAAGACAAAAAGTTTGGGAACCACTGGTTTAGGCCACCCCAGTTCTGGTTCCTGTTTCCTGTGTGGGTTCCTGGAACCTGGCGGGTCTGGCCCTGTTAAGCTTATGTGGTTTGGGGGAGCTRGCTGGTCTGGATTGTTCTGAGTGGTTTCGACTTCCCGGTGGGTCTTTTGCACCTTGCGGGCTCGGGTATGGGTTTTCATGCCGGGCCGCTCCCGGCTGGTGTATGGATGTCGGGCATGTGCTCCTGGGTGCGGATGTTGAGGGTCTTCTTTTCCAGCACGCTTTTGTAGGGGGCCTTACTTTTGCAGGGAGGGTGGGATGCACCCGTGCAGTGTGGGCTTTGTGTGTGACAGTATTAAAAAAAATCAAATGCAGTGTAGCCATTGTTGGTACAGTTACAACACTACATTACTCCAGAAACACAATGTATACACAGCAGCAACCCCGTGATACATGGGAACAACATGTTAACAACATGATACATCTGCCAGGACCATAAACTGACACACAACTCAAATGAAACAGCTAAGAATGTATCTCAAAATGCCTTAAAAATACAATCAGATACACAAACATCTGACAGGAGTGTGAGAACCAAGTGTGTAGTTGTGGTTTTCTTAAGGTGCACAAACAAAACAATGGGTTTCTCACATGGGAAGWATCAACCTCAGCTAGATTGCTATTTTTAGGTCAAAAAACTAACAAATCAAAATAACCTATAAATTTACTCCCATGAGGACAAGAGCTCACGTATCCAGATGCTACCAAAGACCGAGGTGTGATCACAATTCTGTTGTCCTGTAATTGATTTTCTTTTGATGATAAATAATAAATGAGTTGAACAGGCAGGCAGCCTCCACAGTGATCAGGCATTTCAAAGAAATCCTAATATGAGTGTGTCCAGTCCAGTAGTGGATGTTGAAATACTGTGTTGCTTGTTGATGCAAGTTATTTTCTTTTCGGTTTGTGTCATTAACTACAAGTGCCAAGCCCATATGGGCTTACAAGACACAACAAAATAAATTCACACATGATGATGATGATGGCAGGCTGCTCATCAGATTTTGAACTCCTGAGCAAAGATTTGATCATCTCCTCAGCTGGGACAGAGGATCAATATTTGTCAACAGAAACTCCATTCTGTGATTCTCCATCACAACTGAGTGTGAGGTCAGTAATTGTGAGGTTACTCTGAGACAGAGGAGAGGTTGCCCCAGCAACAGATGAAGGGGGAGGKAGGGAAGACATCAAGAACAAAGAGGATATTTTTACAGCATTGTACAGGATATCTGAAGTTGATCTGTTGGTTAATGAGGGATCATTATTATGACCCTCGCACGCGAAGCAGAAGCCGGAGTCATATTGTTTTCGTACTTTTTTTTCAGTGATTTTTGGTCAACTGTAGCACAAAACCGGCTGCACCAATCAAC